ATCACAGTAGTACTTAGCAAGGATATTCCTGAGGGATCATCCAGTGAGGCTACATGGTTGCAACTGACAAATAAGTTTGATAGATGAAGGAAAAGTGGTAGATGTTGTCTACATCGACTTGGGCAAGATCTTTGATAAGGATTGGTAGACTGGTCAGTAAGGTTAGCTCACATGGGATCCAGGGAAAGCTAGCCAACTGGATACAAAATTGGCTTGATGGTAGGAGACAGAGGGTGGTGGTAGTGGGTTGTTTTTCAGACTGGAGCTTTGTGGCCAATGTTGTGTGCTAGGATTGATGCTAGGTCCACTGTTGGTCATCATCTATGTAAACGATTTGGATGAGAATATAGGAGGCAATAGTTAGTAAGTTTGCAGATGACACCAAAATAGGTGGTATACTGGACAGAGAAGAAGGTTTTCCAAGAGTACAACAGGATCTTGATCAACTGGACCAAAGAATGGCAGATGAAGTTTAATTTAGATAAATGTGAGGTGTTGCATTTTGGTTAAAAACCAAAAGCAGGACTTAGAGAGTTAATGGTAGGGCCCTAGGGAGTGTTGTTGAATGGAAGGATCTAGGGGTGCAGGAACATAGTTCCCTGAAAGTGGCATCATAGGTAGACAGGGCGATGAATGGCACACTTGCCTTCATTGGTGGGGGCATGAGTACAGGAGTTGGGATGTCATGTTACAACTGTACAAGACATTGGTAAGGCCACATTTGGAGTACTGCATTCAATTCTGGCCTCCTTGCTATAAGAAATATGTTATTAAACTGGAAAGGGTGCAAAAAAAAGATTTACAAGTATGTTACCAAGAATGGAAAGTTTGAGTTATAAGGAGGAGCTGGATAGGCTGGCATGTTTTCTCTGGAACGTAGGAGGCTGAGGAGTGACCTTATAGAGGTTTATAAAATCATGAAAGGCATAAATAAGGTTAATAGCCAAGATCTTTCCTCCAGAGTAGGGGAGTCCAAACTACAGGGCATAAGGTGACAGGGGTACGATTTAAAAGGGAGCTGAGGGGCAACATTTTCACACAGAGGGTGGTGTGTATATGGAACGAGCTGCCAGAGGAAATGATAGAAGTGGGTACAATTACAACATTTAAAATACATTTGGACAGCTACATGGATTAGAAAGATTTAGAGGGATAGGGACCAAATGCAGGCAAATGGGACTAGTTCAGTTTAGGAAACCTGGTCAGCATGGATGAGTTGGGCCAAAGGGCCTGCTTCCGTGCTGTATGCCTCTATGCTGTACCTGTCCTCAAGAGTGTTTGATGGGGACAGTGCATGTGAAACTTTATTCTGTATCTAACCTGTGCTGTACCTGTCCTAGAAGTCTTTTATGAGGACAGTATAGAGGGAGCTTTACTCGTACTTAACCCCATGCTGTTCCTGCCCCGCGAGTGTTTGATGGGGACAGTGTAGATGGAAATTTACTCAGTTTCTAACCTTGTCCTGTACCTATCCTGGAAGTGTTTGATGGGGACACTGTAGGGGTTGCTTTATTCTGAATCTACCTCATTGCTTTACCTGTGCTGGGGATGTTTTTTGAGGACAGTGTAGAGGGTGCTTCATTCTGTACCTGATCCTGTGTCACACCTGTCCTGCGAGTGCCTGATGAGGACAGCGTAGAGAGAGCTTCACTCTGTATCTAACCCTGTAATGTACCTGTCCTGCGAGTGTTTGGTGAAAACATTGTTGAGGAGGCTTTACCCTGCATCTAACTCCATGATGTACTTGTCCTTGGACTGTTCAATGGGGACAGTGTCGTTGGGACTTTACTCTGTATCTAACCTGTGCCATTCCTGCCCTGGGAGTGATTGATGGTGACAATGTAGAGAGAGTTTTATACTGTATCTAACCCTGTGCTTTTCTAGACTGGTCTTTCTGTCCATAGCGCTGGATATTCACAATGGGAAGGTTTCATTACCCAGGGTTCTCTTACCTTCATGAGTTCAGAAATCTGCTGGCCTTGACTATCATTTAATTTCTCCGTTACATATTAGCTTCCAGAAAATACAACTGACGTAGAAATCTTCGTTTAGAATATCACTGTGGATTGGGCCAAAGGGATCGCCATTTCGATCTTTAATTCAAAAACGCCCATAGCACGTTGACAATGCTCAGACGAATGGCATTCACAGGTCGACTTGACAGTTTCCATGGTAACCGAGCAGCCGCTGACTCTTCACAACTCCTTCGGGTGAGATGCCTTGTGGCTGTTTCACATCCTGAACCGATGCGCAGCACAGATTTCAGTGGAAACTGCACGGTAACACTCAGGGCTGTGCAGCTGCTTTCTGCAGTCATGACATAAATTACAGGATCAAACGCTTCCCCCCCCTTAGATGTAAGGGTGCTTGAATGGGGCTGCTGTGCTGTGGCTGAGCTGGTGGCAGGTCAAAGTGGGAAGTTGTTTCAGAGATAGTAGGAATTGCAGATGCTGGAGAATCTGGAGGAGGCCCAGCATGGACATGTCGTCTGAGGAATGGGAGGGGGAGTTGAAATGGTTCGCGACTGGGAGGTGCAGTTGTTTAGTGCGAACCGAGCATAGGTGTTCTGCAAAGTGGTCCCCAAACCTCCGCTTGGTTTCCCCGATGTAGAGGAGGCCACAACGGGAACAGCGGATACAGTATACCACATTAGCAGATGTGCAGGTGGGGAGGGAAAAATGTCTTTGGTGGTGGGGTCGGATTGCAGATGGCGGAAGTGTCGCAGGATGATGCGTTGCATCCAGAGGTTGGTGGGGTGGTAAGTGAGGATGAGGGGGATTCTGTTTTGGACTCACCTTTACTGGCTCCATCCCCGCCTCTTTGACCTGTCTGTCTCCTCTCCACCTATCTTCTCCTCTTTCCATCTTCTATCCTCCTCCCTCTCTCTCCCTATTTATTTCAGAACCCCCTTCCCCTCCCCCATTTCTGAAGAAGGGTCTAGGCCCGAAACATCAGCCTTCCTGCTCCTCTGATGCTGCTTGGCCTGCTGTGTTCATCCAGCTCTACACCTTGTTATCTCAAAGTGGGAAGTGCCTGCTTCTCCCTATTCCAATTATCCAGGAGAGGGGCAATGGCACCATGGTCAGTGAGACTGGGTTTGAATAGTGCGGCTCAAATCTCACTACAGGTCTAGAGCAGAACCAATTGTACATCACTCATTGAGCTAAATATTGAAACTCTTGAATTAGGAAATAGGAGCAGGGGTACGCCATTCGGCCCTTCCAGACTGTTGCTCCATTCAATATGATCATGGTTGACTCAGTCCCCTGTTCACGCTTTCTCCACATACCCTTTGATCCCTTTAGCCCAAGGAACTATGTCTAACTCCTTCTCAAAACAGTCAATGTTTTGGCCTCAAGCAAAATTTTCTGTGGCAGACAATTCCATAGGCTCACCACTCTTTCGGTGAAGACATTTCTCCCTATCTCAGTCCTAAATGGCCTATCCTGTATCCTTAGACTGTGACATAACCAAGGGGGTGCCAAATTGTTAAAGGTGCCATTTCTCGGTTGCATTTCTTGAGATTGGCATTTCTTGCCTAATTGGTTGTGGGGTTCAGCTTCGAACTTCCCTGGCATCCCATGCCTCAGCTTCATGCTCTCTCCATAATAGGCCTTTAGGAAAATGCGTGCTCTCCAGACTTGATGAACCGTGTGTGGAACAGTTCATGTGGAAAATGAGCAGCAGTTCCACAGCGAGGCGCACAGTGAACTTCTGACCCTGACTCTCTCAGTTGGGACATGCTGAAGTCAGGAATTTTGCTGCAAATCCCTTTATTCCATTGGCAATTTCCTTTCTCAGGACGTATTAAAACAAACAGATAAATCACTCAATAAGTGGGTCAGTATTGTTTTGCTATGAAGCATTAGATTTCCTGCTTTCAGTTAATACTCATGGCCGCCATTGCAGAATTATAATTCATCGCAGCAACTTCCAGCCACAAAATAATAACATTCCTCATTATAATATTTAATATTCAAAAGTTCGGATTATGTTTTAAAGTGATTTATCATGGTTTATCTGTGTGCTGAAGATAATTAGGGCCTCAGTTTACAGATAAGTAACCACAAAGCTTTTTTTGGTTAATGTAATGATCTGCCATGAGGGCTGGGGGAACATGGATGGATTATCCCACCGCAGTGGATCAAAACAAAATGATCGCCAATCGACCACCAGAATTATTCCCATTCACCCAATTTACACCCAGCCCAATCTGCTCCAGAGTCAAAGAGAAAGCTGCAGGTGATTGGCTAGAGTTCCCTATGGAAACCCCTCATTTTTGGGTGTTATATAGGCATAGCATTGACTGCAAAAGACCCCCTTCCCCCTATGTCAAATAGCCTGTGCACATTCACAGCAAAGACTCAGAAATGATTGGTGGCTGGTTGGACTAGGTGTTGGATCCAAAATTGCAACTCATTTGAGAGTAATGTACATACATATGAATATATGAATTACAGACATGAATAGACCATTTAGCTCATTGGCTCTGCTGCAATTCAATGGCTGATCTGATTGTGGCTTTAATTCTATATTCTTGCCCAACTCCACTGACTCCCTTGCTAGTAAATAACCTGACTAGCCCTGTCTTTAAAGTATTACACAGTACGAGCCTCTCGCATGTTAATGATATCACAGTAAGAGCTCCATAGTTCCTGAGCGCTGCAATTTCCTCCGTAAGCTTCTCTACTTCTTTGTCCCCTTTATGTAAAACCTGCCCCTTTGTTCAGCTGATAACCTATGTCATAGTTTGCCAGATTGTGTTTGATACCAACCCTGTAAATCCTCTTGAAGAGGTCTTACTACATAAAGATGCTACATCAGTGTAAATTCCTGTTGGAGTGAATACAAACCAGCTCCTTTATCGTGTACACATATCCCTCTGTCCTATACATCCTGTGCCTTTTTCTGGTAGATTTAATTAATCCGCACAAACATACAGAAATAATTGATACATGTTCAATGGGTCCTAGTATTCTCAATGAAACAGAGAGACAATGGATACTGATAGCAAGAAAAACAGTTTATTTGAAATAAAGTTTTTTTTAACATTGGCATGAATAATGTATTTACATTAGCATAGTATTAGGAATAAAGTCACCATAGTCCCATAGAGTGGGTGTCTCAAAGTCAACCGGTGGTGAGTTTAACCTGAGGGTCACCACGCCTCAGGTGAGAATAGAGGGTGAGAAGATAGGACCTTGATGGTAATCTCAGCTGGTGTGTGAACTGAACCCATGCTATTGTGTCACTCTGCATTACATTCCAGCCAAATGAACTAACCAACCCCCAACATTAGGAATCAGGCAACTCTGAAATCACAGCTAAATGGAGGACAGGAGGCGGTATTGGATAATTCAAAGCGATCCCAGTAAAAATAAACACACTTAATTCTCATTATCAGGCATTGTACAGAAACTCCACCAACATTGAAATTTGAATTGTTAAACTACACAGATAAAGGGTTTCATCAATAACAGCCATTTCCACGCTGCATTAACAAATCTCAATTGTGTTCATGATGTGGGTGTTGTAACTAATTTACAGCCCTGAGTTAGTGATGGGAGGAGTCAGCCAGTGTTTAGATCATAAATCATAGAATCCCGACAATGTGGAAACAGGCCCTTCAGCCCAACAAGTTCACAGAGCATCCCACCCAGATCCATCCCTCATAACCCACCTAATCTACACATCCCTGAACACTATGGGCAAGTTAGCATGGCCAATCCACCTAACCTGCACATCTTTGGACTCGTGAAGACTTTTCCCAACTAGTGAGCACTGAATAGGAAGTGCAGATCGGGATTGAGACAGAAGGAGGCTCAGCTGTGAATCTCCCACAGTCAAATAGTCTCCCACTAACACTTACTGTTAAGAGCCAACTGTTGAGAGGAGCACCGACATGGAAGACACTGAGAGTATGGTGACACATTATTTAGATGTTCCGACACATTAGTTCATGGAGTGATATGGTCATGTGTTTGTGACTCCCCCTCTTCCTGCGCAATAGGGGCAACTCCAAATCCCTGCTACCCTAACGCGAAGGCAGAAGTGGAGATCAAATCAAAAGGTCCTGCATTCTCCCCTCTCATCCACCCTTACCATTACCCTCTAAGAAACATCCAAGAAGCAGATCATCCCAGTGGGTGCATGCTGTAGTATAGAAAGTACTTTACCACGAATCATGAAAGAGACACTTACACATGATCCCATTTTGCCACTCTCCACCCCAGGTGGCGATGAACAAGTAAAACAAATTGAAATTTCAACTTACGGGAAGAAATGAGTAGTTCATACAAGTAACAAAACAACTAAGCACGATAAAATGTGTATTTGACTTGAAATATCTGGTGAAGTATGTATTGAAGAATAAAATGATTCATCAAAAACTGCTTGAAATTGGAAAAACTGCATTCGGTTGCAACTTCAAAACAGAACTGAATAAAGTGACAAGAAGGAAAAGACTTCGTGGCTACGAGGAACAAGTAGGAAAAGTGGAGCTAATTGGAAAGTACTTTCAAAGGGCTGGCATAGACATGAATGAGTTGAATGGCCTCATTCTGTGCTGTATTGTTCTATGATTCTGAGTCAATGTGTTCTAGAGACAAGGAGAGATAATTGGCAAAAACAAAAAAGTAAATGGGAAAAATGTAAAAAGGATATTTGAGAAGGCTAGAATACAAGAGCAGGGATGTACTGCTGAGGCTGTATAAAGCTGCATTTGGAATATTATGAGCAGTTTGGACCCGATCCAAGGAAGAATGTGCTGGCCTTGGAGAGGGTATGCAGGAGGTTTACAAGAATGATCATGGGGCTGAAGGGTTTGTCCTGTAAGGAGCAGTTAAGGACTCTGGAGTTTAGAAGGATGGGGGAGTCTGATTGAAACTTACAGAATACTGAGACGCCTGAATAGAGTGCACATGGAGAAGATAAAGTCACAAGGGCACAGCCTCAGACTGAAGTAACATCCCTTTAGAAATGAGATGAGGAGGCATTTCTTCAGCCAGAGGGTGGTGAATCTGTGGAACTCCAATTGCTACAGGAGGCTGTTGAGACCACGTCATTGAGTGTATTTATGACAGCAACAGGTAGGCTCTTGATTAGTGAGGGGGTTACAGGGAGAAGGCAGGAGAATGGTGTTGAGAAACATATCAGCCACGATCGAGTGGTGGTTAGAATCAAAGGGCTGAATGGCCTAATTCTGCTCCTTTACATCTTATGGTCTAAGAAAAACAAACCTCCTGTTGATGCCCCTGACTGGTCTCACAAGTGAAGTGCAGGTCAGTCGGATGAATTATCAGATGAATATAGTCCAATGGAAGTCTCCACTAGCAACAGTCCTTTCCTTGAGCTGAGGAAGAAAGGGACAAAGCAGTTACCTTGTACCAATACACTCAACATCCACGTAACTTAGAAATGAACAAAGGGAAAACATCGACAATCTTACCATGAATACCTGTGTTTTTGTTCTGACTTACAAGTTTCATGGCTCATCTGCTTTCAGTTTCAATGGTATCCCTTCTGTCTGTCTTTTGGAGATGTTGGGGGGTCTGTGGCGGTGGTGGAGGAGGGGAACTTGTGGCTGATTCAGGATAGAGGGTTGGAGGTGGCTTAAAGTACTGTTGGGTACTGCAGGTGGTGGGAAACCTGAACACTGCTGTGTCTGCCTCAGAGATGGTACAGGCTGCAGTTTATCCTCACAGTTGATGCATTAAATTTAACAAGAGTAGGAGACTCATTTGGGTAAGGTGTTGCTCTATCTCTCTCTCGCAGTGGAGATCTCCAGAAAGTTAATTGTCAGGACTTCCAATTACTGCAGATGCAGACAGAGGAAAAACGCTTCAAAATAAAAGGTGTTGCTGAGTGAGAAATTAAAACCTGTCAATTCTAAAACATGGACAAGCTAAAGCAAAGCAATATAAAGGGTGACCGAAACATAATCAAATATGCAGATATTGAAATTTCAGCGCAGATAATGGAATAGCGACATCAGCAACATCACACAAAAAATTATATTTCTTTCAATCATTGAATAAATTGCAAAATCAAAAGCTAAGTATCACCATCTTTCTTCTATTTTGCTAATTTACCAGTTTGCTTTGGTGCTTCCAATGTTGGATGCGTAGAAATTTCCTCCAATGAAATACTGGGAAGACAGAAGCCATTGTTTTTCTTTCCTTGCTCCAAATTCTGTTCCCCACCCATTTCCCTGAGTGACAGACTGAGACTATTGAACCTGTTGACAACCTTGGTGTCTTATTCAGTCACAGAATGAGCTTCCAGCCACATGTCCATACCATCACCAAATCCACCTATTTCCATTCCCTTAATGCCACCAGACTCTACCCACACCTTGGCTGATCCACTGCTGAAATCCTCATCTGTGCCGTTGTTACCTCTGGACTCAATCACTCCAATAAACTCCTGACTCGTCTCACACGGTCTACCCTCCACACTAATGCAAATTTGGGATCATGCAGAACTCTGCCACCTGTGTCTCAACTCACCCCAAATCCCATTCTCCTAACACCCCTATTCTTACTGATCTACTTTTGACGCCTGGTCTTGTTTTGAAAATTCTCTTCCTCGGTTTCAAATCTCTCTGTGGCCTCATTGTTCCCTAACTCTGTAATCTCCTTTAGCACCCATAAAACAGAAGCAGTCCAGAAAAGATTATGAGACTAATAGGTGGAACTGGCAGTTTGTCTTGTGTTGGAGAGGTTGGACAGGCTCCTGCATCTACTGGAGTTTAGAAAAGTAAGACAGGACTCGATTGAAATTTATCAGATCTGCAGGGCTCTTGACAGGATAGATGTGAAAAGGAATTTTTCTTCTTGTGGGAGAATCTAGAACTAAGGGTGACTGTTTCAATATAACGGTTCTCCCATTTAAGACAGATAAGCTGAACAGTTTCGCAGCCAAAGGGTTGTGAGTTTTTGTAACGCTGTCAAAAGGTGACAGAGGCAGAGTCCTTGAATATTTTCAAGATGTTTGAAAAACAAAAGGTGAAAGGTTATCGAGAATAAGGAAAGATGTGGAATAATCCAATCAGCCATGATCTTCTTGAATGGCAGAGCACAGCAGGTTTGAGGGGCTGAAGGGCCATATGGCCTACTACTGCTCCTAATTCATATGTATATAACCCTCCAGAAAAATTGCATTCATCTAAATCTGGTCTCTTTTACATTTTCAGCAATAATTCACCATTGGTGGCCATGCTTTCAGTTGTTTTGCTTCTATAACTCTCTGCCTCTCTCTCCTGTTTTATAACACTTCTTAAAATCAACCTCTTTGACCAGAGATAACAAGGTGTAGAGCTGGATGAACACAGCAGGCCAAGCAGCATCAGAGGAGCAGGAAAGCTGATGTTTCGGGTCTGGGCCCTTCTTCAGAAAAGGGGGAGGGGAAGGGGATTCTGAAATAAATAGGGAGAGAGAGGGAGGCGGATGGAAGATGGATAAAGGAGCAGATAGATGGAGAGGAGGCAGACAGGGCAAAGAGGCGGAGATGGAGCTAGTAAAGGTGAGTGTAGGTATGGAGTTTGGGTGGGGATAGGTCAGTCCAGGGAGGACGGACAGGTTAAGGAGGCGGGATGAGGTAGGAGGTGGGGGTGGGGCTTGAGGTGGGAGGAAGGATGGACAGGTTAGGGAGGCGGGGACGAGCTGGGCTGGTGACCAGGTTCTTGGCCATTTGAGCAACCTCCTAAGGCTAGATAGATACATTTGTCCTTTTATAATTCTTTTGGAAAGAACCTGGGATTATTTTTGCATTAAAGCAAAATTACTACATAATTGCTACATAAATATAAAGGAGCCATATGAATATAACGGTGCCTTATGAATATAAAATTTCTCTTGTTAAGTACACAGTATCGCTGTGATCTAAATTCCTTCCAAACCTAATTCTCCTGCAAGCATCACTTGACAGCGATAGTAGGAACTGCAGATGCTGGAGAATCTGAGGTAACAAGGTGTAGAGCTAAATGAACACAGCAGGCCAAGCAGCATCACAGGAGCAGGAAGGCTGACGTTTCTTCTGATGAAGGGTCTAGGCCCGAAACGTCAGCCTTCCTGCTCCTATGATGCTGTTTGGCCTGCTGTGTTCATCCAGCTCTACACCTTGTTATCACTTGACAGCATTTGGAATACTCCCTACTTGCCTGGATGAGTGCAGCCCCCAACAACATTTAAGAAGCTTGACACCATCCAGGACAAAGCAGCCCGCTTGATTGGCACCACATTCACAAACATCCACTCCCCCCACCACCGATGCTCAGTAGCAGCAGTGTGTACCATCTACAAGATGCACTGCAGAAATTCACCAAAGATCCCCAGACAACACCTTCCAAACCCACAACTAGTTCCATCTAGAGGCACAAAGGCAACAGAAACATGGGAACACCACCAACTGCAAGTGCCCCTCCAAGCCACTCACCATTCTGACTTGGAAATATGTTCCTTCAGTGTTGTTGTATCAAAATTCTAGAATTCCCCCCCTAATGACATGGACTGCAGCAGTTCACCACCACTTTCTCAAGAGCAACAAGGCATTAAATGCTGGCTCAGCAGCAATGGCCATGTCCCACGAGTGAATTAGAAAAGGTCAGAAATCTCACATCAGGTTATAGTCCAACAGGTTTATTTGAAAACACAAGCTTTCGGAGCCTCACTCCTTCTTCAGGTGTTAGTGAGAGAGATATGGAATTTATAAGTAAAAGATCAAACAGTCATGCCACTGCTGAGGATGTATTAAACAAACCTAAGATGCTGTTAAATCTCTAATCAGTTAGAAGGTTTTAATTCCTTACTAGTCACTGCCCTGAGAGAACTAAAGGTTTTAACAGTGTAAAGAAGAGGTGATATTTGTCTGACCTAAAATATCATGTCTTTTTTACAATGATAAAACCGTTAGTTCTCTCAGGGCAGTGACTAGTAAGGAATTCAGGGAATTACATATACATATTCATCAACTAAAACCTTCTAACTGATTAAAGATTTAACAGCATCTGAGGTTTGTTTAGTACATCCTCATCAGTGGTGTGACCTTTTGATCTTTTACTTATAAATTCTGTGTCTCATTCTACCTCTCTCACTAACACCTGAAGAAGGAATGAGGCTCTGAAAGCTTGTGTTTTCAAATAAACCTATTGGACTATAACCTGGTGTTGTGTGATTTCTGACCTTGTCCAGCCCAGTCCAACACCGGCACCTCCACATCATGAATTAGAAAAAGCTATGAATGGCAAATCTTTTCACAGTCTCATGCCTCCTTAACTCCATAACCCATTCCAATCCAACTCCTTTCATTTCTTCCAATTCCTGCCTATTTCTCATTCCCCATGCCGTCCACCCTACCATCCAGAGTCTCTGTTTAGACCTCTGCTGCAAGATTGTGTGTAATTCTGGGCAGAGGACAGTTAAGAATAAATCACATTGTTGTGGGTCTAGAGTCACATGCAGACCAGGTAAGGATAGCAGTTGCCTTCCCTCAAGGGCATTAGTGAACCAAATGTATTTTCCCAAACAACTGTCAACGTTAGACTTTTAGTTCCAGATTTTTATTGAATTCCAATACCTGCGATGGTGGGATTTGAACCCAGGTCCCAAGAATATTCCCCAGGACTCTGGATTAATAGTCTAGTAGTAATACCAATACGCTATCACCTTTGTGAACAGCAGGTACTATTGGTGATATGGACGTTTATGGCAGCTGATCCATGCACAGGGAGATCCCACAAATAGAATTCAATTTTTAGTCAGGTTGGTTGAGGGATATTTAATACCCTGAAGCACTGAGGATGACTCTCCAGGCTTCTCTTTGAAATAACAGCACAGAATCTCTAATCCTGTCGTAATGGTGGAAGCTCCTCAAACCTCAGTGGTAAGGTGCTGCTTTCTATTTGAAGTGATTCATGAGACCCGAATGTTGTGAATTTATTATTTTTAACTGAGGTGCGATATTCATGTTTTGGGAGGGAACCATGGAATGGGGCATGAGATGTACAGAATATCCATTATCCTGTAACACCGGGAGACAGAGGTACACACCCCAGGGTGCCTGGTGAAACTGTGGCACTGCAGTGAGCCCCTCACTGACTGACAAGCCAATTTTCATCTGGACTCTTCAGGCAAGTGAGCAGGAGGCCAGTAACCATGGCAACGCCAGAACACCCGCACGGCAGTGCTGCAAAACGAAGAGAAAATTAGTTATTTTTAAAAGAGAAAAAGACGAGGTCTCAAGGTACATTTAATCGGTGGTTTGTCACTGCTGACATTTCACAGGAGTGTGTGAACAGATGAAAAGCGTCCTTCAAATAGGGGACAAGATTAAATTCAGGGTTTTCTGGGATTTTGCAAATAAAATAGATTTTTATTCAGTGAGACAGTTTTTGCAGATGCTAAGGTGTCAGTCCTGTGATTCATTTGGCACACACTGCTAATCCTCAGGTGACTGCTGGAATATTTGACTGTCACATCTGCTTGACAATCAGTGTTCTTCAGCAGTGAGAATATTCCTTCATCAGCATTAACCAGATAATTACATTAACCTTCAATATTCTCCTGACTGTTTATGGCTGTGGATGGGTAGAGTCTACTGAAACTCTTTTCCAACTTCTAGGAGAGATGCAGAGTGAAACTCACTCTATATGCTCCCAGGAAAATACTCTCAAGGTAGGCACAGCATGGCGCTAGATGCAGTGTAAAGCTACCCCTCTATTCTTTTAAACTGAAAGTAAATCCTCCTTGACACATCAAACATCAAGACAAGGACAGCATGGGGCTAGGTACACAGTAAAGCTTGCTCTACTCTTTTAAAATGTAAGTATCGCTCCCTCAACACTGTCCCCATCAAGGAGGTACAGCATGGGGTTAGATAAAGCTCCCTGTACTCATTCAAACTTAAAGTAAAGCTCTTTCTACAAGCATTCCCAGGACAGTTATAGCACAGGGTTACATACTGACTAAATCTCCCTCTCCTCTTTTAAGCTGAAAGTAAAGCTGCCTCTACTCTTTTAAACTGAAAATAAAGCTTCCTTGACACTGGCCCCATCAAATACCGCCAGGACATGGTCAGCACGGGGTTAGATATAGAATAAAGCTTCTTCTACTCTTTTAAAGAGTAAGTAAAGTTTCCTCAACACAGTCCTCATCAAACACTTTCAGGACAGAGACTGCACAGGGTTAGATACAGAGTAAAGCTCTCCCTACATGAGATAATTTCAAATTTCCAGGCCATGTTCAGCATGGAGTTAGATATTCATTAAATCATCCTCAACACTGTCCCTATTAAACACTCCAGAAGCAGATATAGCACAGGGTCAGGTATGGGCTAAATCCCCTCTACTCTTTTAATCTGAATGTAAACTGAAAATAAAGCTCCCTTTACACTGTCCCCATCAAATACTCCCAGAACAGGGACAGCATGGAGTTAGCTACTATATAAAGCTCCCTCTACTTTTTTAAAGTGAAAGTAAACTGTAAGTAAAGCTCCCCCTGCTATTCCTACCAACACTGCTAGGGCAGTATAAAGCCCAAATCTCCACTATTTGCTTCACCTCATCAAACACTGCTGGGATCTTGTACCTGACTTTGATTTAATATCTTATCCTTAAGTCCCCCATACCGGGAGGGTGGGGTCGGGTCAGGTAGGATGGAGAAAAACACCCTCGATACTACACTTGGACAATCAGTTTGGATTAGGGGTTCAAGTCTCTGGAGAGCAACTTGAATCTTTCGACTCAGAGACTGAAGAGTTATCCAAGCCTGTGATTGCATTTTGCCAATAAAGTTGGCTTGTGATACCCTCCAGACAAACAATCTGTTGGTGCTCACTGGAATGGAGTGAATGGTATCTCTGGAATCTACAGTCAATGAACAGAGTAGAAAAAAGACACAGAAAAGACTGGTGTTCCTCACTCACACCAAATAAGCTTGTTGAAATATCACAATGTTTAGACTTAGATCTTGTTGTCTCTGGATGGCTGGAGAATGGATGTATCCCCAAAGGTACACACCAGGGCTCCTCAGTAGTCTCATCATGCTGGGAATCTGATATACTGATTCTAGGGAAATTGCTTAGGCATATCTTTTAAACACCTGATGATGATTCTGCAACTTCCCTGGACTTTGCATCATCTTCTCCATCTAAGTTAGACTTGGAGACATAGCAGAACTTAGGAGACTTACAAATATCCTAACCATTCAGAATTGTGCCTGAGTAGCTCCCCAGGAAATGTTAGACAGATGAAAAACACGTGTAGCTCCTGGGGAACTATACAACTGACACCCTCCTCTCCTCACAGGGGTGCGTAGATTATATGGGTTATAGGGAAATGGGTCTGGGTGGGATGCTGTAAGGGTCAGTGTGGACTTGTTGGGTCAAAGGGCCTGTTTCCACACTGTAGGGATTCTATGATCTATGATCACACACACAGACTCGCTCGCACGCACACACACAGACTCCTGCTGATCGCTGATCACACATCCTCCCCTCTGCAAACACTGTGACCATCTTCCTTGGTTCGCCGATTCCCCACCCAAAATCCCTGCAGTGCCAACCCCATGACCCAACCTGCCCTGACCGCATCAATCTGAATCACCCCGACCCTTTCATCTATCTCTGAACCCGTGACACCTTCCCTGATTACTGACTTTCCCAAGCCCTCCTGGCTCCTGCCTCAACCCCCACCCCCCACCCCACCCGCAGCCCCCCTTGCCACCCCATCCACTTATCACCTTGCTACCTAACCTAATGACCCAATATTCTAATTAGATGCCATGCTAGCTCCTCCCTTACCTTGCCCACTTTTGCCCCTAACCCTCTTCACTCACCACCTTATACACTCACACACTCACACCTTCACTCATGCGCTCACACTAACATGCTGCAAAGTTCTGGAACTTATTGGACTACAGCAGACAGTGCCATAAAAAGGAGGCACGACTTCAGCACATATTCTCTCTGAGTGCAAAAGGGCATCTGAAGATCAGCCATAAAAATCAGAGGAAGGCAACTTGTTCATTTTTCTTGTTTGGTAAGCGTCGGAGAGAAAAGGGGCTCTAATGCTGACAGAAAGATTGGGCTCAGACTCCAATAAAAAAAACTTTGAACCACAATGTAAGAAAAAATCTGAGCGAACTCTCACCCAATTGAGAAACAAAAAAGTGCATCTGAGCACAATTTCAAACAAAACAAGCTCTGTTAACATTCCGAAGGAGTCTGGTGACTGGCCTTATCACCCCAACACATAGAAACATTCCCACTGCTTCGAATGACATCGAGGTTACTGAGAAGATTCAAATTCCTGAAGCATGTCACCAGCACAGACAGAGGGATGCTGTACCTCATCACTCTTTCACGCCATTCTTTCCCCTTCTCTTTGGCTTTACTGCTTTCTATTTCCTGCTCCCAAATTATTTTCATCCTGTTTTTTTTCTTTGTATATCCTTCACTGTTTCCTCTCTCCTCTTTTTATGATTCTACTTTCATTTTATTTTTCTTGGCCTTTCCCTCAGTTGATCCATCTTGCAACACCAGCTGCACAAGCAGCATTTGGTTATGTAAATTGAGGCTTGTCCTAATATTACTCCTAAGATGACTGTAAAACTAGACTCTAAACTGGTCTTTTATTTTCATTTCTGGACACCCCAGGATTCTCCCTTTCCCTTCCTCCTCCTATCTTTATTGTTCATTTCTTTGTCCCTTCACCTATCTTTCTTTTAACATTGTTTTGTCTTGCCCTTCTTACTCTGCTACCCTCTCCTCTTCTGTCACTCTTCTGCTTCTTCTTCATTCCTTCCTGCATCTCTCTGCCACCTCCTACTGGCCAACCAGCGCAATGGCAGTGGCTTGATAGCCACTTATGAATCAGATGGAAGTTGATGCTGAACAGTGAGGGAGAGACCCTTGTCGGTCTGCGGTTCCTCAAGTAGAGTTAACACACAAATAAAAATGGCTGAATGAGCATGCTGTTGGTACTCTTCCTTCTTAGCATATTTGACATTAGCTTGAGCTGGTGTAATTTAACATGGACCCTTCCCAGATAGGAAGTATGTAGGTAGGGTGTACACAGAGTCATATTAATATCTCATTCTACAGGTTACTCCATGTTTCACCTTCTTAGAAGATCTGGAACACAAAATACTATCACCACAAACTGAATCACTTTGGTCTGTATCAGCACCCAATGTTGACAAACCAGATTGCATCCAGCAAAATTAATTCAACTTTTCAACTTTCTGTGGTGTGAACAGGGTTCTGATTATTGGATTTATGTAAATAATTCATTGTGGCATTAGAACAAACAGTAATATCTAAGAGGTCAACATAGACACTAAACATTGGATGCATCAAATAGTAAGTGTTCAGCAATGTGCAGCTGACTGATATGGAACAGGGCCTTCTCATTATTGTCTTCACCCATTTCTCAGTCTGCTTCAGATATTCCTGATGCTCTCTTGGTCAGTCTCTCTATCTCCTCCACCCTCTTTGGACCTTAGCTTATCCAAAGCTCTGGCAGCCTGTATCCTATCTCACACCAAGTCTGACTTATCAGGTTCCCATGTACCTCATGGGACACCAACACCAGCTCCTGATCCAGCTTCAATCCCTTTACACCGTCAACCCTCCCTATCTCCCAGAAACTTCCACAGAACTCCACCTTTCTCCATCTGTAACTATTTGTGCACCATGTACTTCCTCCCACTGGAAACTTATTGAGACATCTCAAGGTGCTTCACAGAGGGACAATCTGATAACAACTGACATCAAACCAATGTGAAGAGGCTAGGATCAATAATGGACAGTGTAGTAGGTTCTAAGCAGCGTCATCAAACAGGACAGATGAGGTTGGGGTGGTAAAGAGATGGAGAGGTTTAAGGAAGGCATTTTGGCCTCAAGGCTTAAACAGGTGGTGGTACAATCGCCAATTGATGAGTGATGCAAAATCAGGGGTTTGCATCCAGAGGGACTACATGGTGGCCTCGTGGTCAGCACTACTGCCTCACAGCCACTAGGGACCTGGGTTCAATTCCAGCTTCAGGTGACTGTCTGTGTGGAGTTTGCATGTTCTCCCCACATCTGCTGGGTGCTCCAGTTTCCTCCAACAGCCCAAAGATGTGCAAGTTAGGTGGATCGGCCTTGCTAAATTACCCATAGAGTTCATGGACATGTAGGTTTGGTGCATTAGCTGTGGAAAATGCAGGGGTAGAGGGATAGGTCTGGGTGGGATGCTCTTTGGAGGGTTGGTGTGGACTTGTTGAACAACCCAATTATTGCAAATTGATTGATTTTTTTATAGAATCCCACATGCTGTGGAGATTCTATTAAAAAAATCAATTTGCAAGAACCCAGGATTCAAGGAACGCAGACATTTCAGATGATAGTAGGATAGTGTTGTCAATGTTCTAGGATTGGCTTGTAGTTTCCAGGAACTAAAGGTCAATATCCTACTCAATGGCTCCTGTATGCAACCCTGCAGGAAAATCACAGGGACATTAAAAAAAATCACTTCATTTGATGAAGGAGCAGTGCTCCAAAAGCTTGTGATTTTAAATAAATCTGTTGGACTATAATCTGGTGTTGCGTGACTTCTAACTTTGTTCACCCCAATCCGACACTAGCACCCCCACATCAATACTAGAGATGGTAGCTGTGTAATATCTAGAGACCAGGCTGATGCTCTGAGAACATGAAAGCACAGCAAATTCTAGAAATTAAATTCCATTTAAAGCTGGTCTCAGTAACATACAAAGAGGTCTCCCAGGCTAATTCCTGGGATGGTACAACTGATGTATGAAGACAGGCTGGATTGGTTAGGACTATATTTTGGAGTTTAGAAGAATGAGTGGGGATTTCAGAGAAAGCTACAAAATTCTAACAGGACTAGACAGGGTAAATGCAAGAAGGTTGTTCCCAGTAATTGGGGAGTTCGGAACCGGGGTCACAAGTTAAGGATACAGGGTAGGACATTTAGGACTGAGATGAGGAGACATTTCTTCACCAAGAGTGGTGAACCTGTGGAAGTCTCTACTATAGAAAGTGGTTGAGGCCAAAACATTGAATGTTTTCAAGAAGGAGTTATATATAGTTCTCAGGGTTAAAGAGATCAAAGGGTATGGAGGAGAAAGCGGGAACAGGGGACTGAGTTGGATGATCAGCCATGATCATGTTGAATGGCAGAGCAGGCTCGATGGGCTGAGTGGCCTACTCCTGCTCCTATTTTCTACATAATGGTGATTCATAGAATCCCTATAGTGCTGATAAAGGCCATTGGGCCTATTGAGTCTGCCTGAACCCTCCAAAGATCTTCCCACCCAGACCCAGCCTAACATTGTAACTCTGCATTCCCCATGGCTAAACCACCTAACCTGTACATCCCGGCACACCACAGAGCAATTTAGCATGGGAAATCCACCTAGCCTGCACATCTTTGGGCTGTCGGAGGAAGCCAGAGCACCCAGAGGAAACTCACAGTCATGGTGTGCAAACTGCACACAGGCAATTGCCCAAGGCTGCAACTGAGCCCAGATCCCTGGTGCTGTGAGGCAGCAGTGCTAACACTGAGCCACCGTGCCACCTCCATTTGATAGATGGGGTTTGTCACAGGAACTTGTGAATGAATTCCTGTATATTCCTTAATCTCATATGTGTCAGTCACTCTGGATCAGGAAGCGAGGTTCTGACCTTTCTTCATTAAGGAGATGTGTGCTTTGCTAGCTGTGAAATCATTTATTGCCTAACCCTAGCTGCCCTCGAGAAAGTGATGGTGAGCTGCCACCTTAATCACTGCAGTCTATTACAGAGTAGATATACCCACAAAGCTGGTCAGGAGGGAGGTCTAAGAGTTTGACTCAGTGACACTGATGGGACTAAACTAAAAACCTTTTGCCTCTGTGTGGTCCATATCTCTCTATTCCCTGTCTATTCATATATCTGTCAAGATGTCTCTTAACTGTTGCTATTGTATCTGTTTCTACCACCTGTTCTGGCAGTGCATTCCAGGCACTTACCACCCTCTGTCTAAAAAACTTGCCTCTCACTTCTTTAAACTTTCCCCCTTTTACCTTAAACCTATGTTCCCTAGTAATTGACAT